CTCAAGTATATATTGTTAGTTGTCAGCACAAATAACTGACAAGGAATAGCAAAGCATAAAAATCTCCAATAAATGCAGTTCTCTATGTTTCCAGAAATAATCAAAATGAGGAAAAAAGTACCTGTATTTTTAGACCTAAATAGGAATTTGCTTCCCTATCAGGCACAGTGATAAAGAAATCATATTGCTTTGTGGGTATCTTGCTACTGCTTGAACCTAGAATTTAATAGTAGGCACATTACACCTCTATAATCATTTCTTATATCCAACCATTCCTTCCTATGAAATAAACCACAAAAACTGGCCATTTTTCTCAAGACAATAAGATTTTGTTTTCCACAGAATCTGAACATTTTTTTAGCTCTTCTGGAAAAAAGCATAACTGATATTAAGCTTGCTCAGAAAATAAAGTATTCTACCAGTGGAAAAAAATAACTATCTTGTCCACACAAGACAGAATCTTGTCCACCTGCCTTGGAACATAGATGTGAATGTTTTGAAGATGATGACTCAATAGAACTGTGAGCTTCTTGAGGAATAGGCTGTAAGTATTTAAATGGCCCAAATATTGGTACAGAGAGCACACTCTAATCTTTATTAAATCACTAAAGCAATGTAGTAAATAAATTAGGCTTGTCAATAAGTTTTTACTCTTTGTAGAACAGTAAAGTAAGTTACTCAGCAAATTTTACATACTTGAGTTCTAAGAGACATCCTTGCTCCTTCCTTCTCTATACCTCACTGAGTACCAGATCATAGTAACCCTTGAATTTGGGAACCTCTGTGTGTACAACTTGCCAATACCTTAGTCCATATCTTTCCCTCAGTAATCTTCTACTTGGTCTCTGTCAATCTACTCTGGTCCTACCACTAAGTCACAGAGATATTTTATATCACAAATCAAATGATTAATCCTTTTCCCTACCACTACACTCTAAATCATGCAATGGTCTCCTATTACTCTTATGATAAAGACCAAAATTCTTGGAGGAATCTGAGGTTACTTTACTGCAGTCTCTGCATCCTTCCTTATTCTCATCTCACCATGTCAGGCATGTTGGACATCTTCCTGTGGCAGAAATGTCCCACCTTGGATATGTGCTTTCCCTTCTTAGAATGCTCCTTACTCACCTCCTTCCCTACTCAAGTCCTATTCATTAGATTTTAGCTGGTGATGCAATTATTTGGGAAACTTTTCCTGATACCCTAAGTTATATATATTGCTATCAATTCCTACAGTACCACATTCCTTTATTTCAAAGAATTTAACTCAAAATAATGAATTCATTAGTGCAATTATTTGATTAATGTCTGTTCTCCTCTTAGTCTATAATTTTTATGATGGAAGGAACATGGCTCATTTTGCTTATCAGTATGTCTCTGTTGCATGTAGAAAATCTGGCACTTAACATTAGTTCCCAAAATATATTTCCTGGATAGATGGATGGATATATTAATGCAGAGCCTCTGAGCCCCTTTTTACAGAAGTGAGGATGAACAGTGAGCATTATACACAGATTCTTGCCTCTTTTCAGGGTAAGCACCATATTTTTAGGTTTTGCTAGGCTGGACATATTTGATTATGGGACATTAGTTTTTATGAGATAACATGTATCCTTACCATTCTAAACTAATTATGTTAAAATTTGTTAGCATTTTTGTCCTAAAACCTTTTCTTTGGTCTAACCAGCTATAATCATTGATTAGATCTAATGTTTATTAAGAAAGATGTGATAATCCTAGAATCCTTCCAAATACTCCTGGCAATGATTCCTATATTTATATAACACTTATGCAGCTATTGTGCCACAGAAAATGACCAAAATGAGGTGATGGACATGGGTGTCATCCCCATTTTACTGTTAGAAGAAAGACAAAGTATACTCTGGAGGGAAGCTTGTACAATAAGTTGTTTGCTTTTGTGGGTGTTTTTCCCTTAATATTTTGTTTGTTTTTCTCTATCTTGCAATGTGACAGTGAATTCATAAAGGTTGTTACATGACACAACATGACATTGCCACCTTAATGTATAGGAATTTGAAGAAGTTTGTGTGTGTGTGTGTGTGAAAGAGAAAGAATTCTTTAAAATTTTTTAGTTTTCGGTGGACACAACAACTTTATTTATTTATTTTTAAATTTTTATGTGGTGCTGAGGATCGAACCCAGCGCCCCGCGCATGCCAGGTGAGCATGCTACAGCTTGAGCCACATCCTCAGCCCTTCAAGAAGTTTAATAAGGCAGAAGTTAGCAAAGATACCTGCCCTTTTCAATAGATTAGGAAAAACACCACACAGCTGACTTGATTTTAAATGAAAGGAGGGCACATTGTACCACTATAAGTCAATGCTATGAACAAGGCACTCTGGAAACAGCAGCCAATATTAAGCAAATATAATGAGGGGGCATTGATCTTCATTCCAAGTGTTTAAAATTCACTCCACCTTAGAACTAAGGTATTTTCAATTTTAAAGAAGAGTATTTTCAACAGAAATATCAGCCGTGCCTTAATGGGCCCCATATGTTAATAATTTGCATCAACTATGTTTCATTGTTATGAAAGATTCCAGGAAGAGGAGCTGGGGATAGAATTTGCTGCAGGCTCTGCAATATAATGGTTAAAAACATTCTGAGTTACATGGGTATTGTTAAAAAACTCACTTTCTCTCTTCCTAGATCCTTCTTATTTGAATTATGTTTTTTTTTTCATCTGTACAATAGGGATTCTAAGTGTCCTTGCAGGGAAAGATTCAGGTTTCACAGGACATGATGCTTATGTAGTGGGAAAAAGAATGTCACTTTTTGCAAACATGACCTCAGGTACAGAGCTCAGAGACCTGTCTCTTGGGTCTTCAAAGTGCACAATGCAAGGGAGGACCTAGAAGTTCCCACTTCAGAAGTTTCACCTCTGTATTTTTCTTTGGTTTGTTTTCCCTCTTAGTGAAGATTCAATAAAATGAAGCATGCAGCATTTACTGGTGTACTGCAGACAATAAATGTTAGCCCGCATCCTAAGTTTCACCTTTACTCTATTTCACAGAGGCATAAAAGCAAATAATTTCTATTTTTATTCCTAATGGTTTAATTTTATTTTTCTGAGGCTAAATGCTAGAGAGGACTAAAGAGATTAGTAGAATGAACAATACATGCCCAGGAATTAGGTCATTTGTTTATTCAACAGAATATATCAGGCAGCTACCATGTGCCAGGCATGGATTGGTAAGTGTAATTGTTAGGTAAAGTAGGCACAGGAAAAGCAAAATAAATTTTAAAAATGTGTAATAACAAATGTGTATACCATCTAGTAATAAGAGGATTCTGGAATACAAAATAATGGGGAGAGACATTAATGGTAATGGAAGACCTGCCTGGAGAAGGTAGTTATGAAGTGAGAGTTTAAATGAGATAAAAGAGCTCAGAAAGAGGAGCTGGGAATAGAATTCCAATTAGGAAACATGTCTGAAGGCTCAAGTGGAAAGAACATGGCATGTTCTAGGCTTAAAAATCAGGCCACATGTGGACAGAATGATGTTTCCTTGAGATAAGTTATCCAAAAAATGAGACAAAATCAAATTTCCATGGAATGAAGCACATGAAGCTTGGATAGGCTGCTAGAAAAAATAGCTTCCTCTATATGATGATAAGCTCTCTAGCCAAGCTGCCTCGGTTTACCTTTCCTGTTGGCTTATTGAAGCCAATTTGAACAAAAGACTTCAACTCAGTTCAATGTATCCCACTCATGATAGGCTCACTAAAGTTAAGTAAATGACACCCACCAAAAGGGGATTTCTGAAATATACAATCATAATGCTTTCAAGGAATTTTTAAAAGTTAAATTATCATGCTAATAACGAATTGAGGAGAGAAGAAAAATGTACTAATTTTTTTTTTTTAAAAAACTAAAGAACAAAGAATAAATTCAAGTATTCTATTCTGCAAGAATGAAGAGTTGGTGTATGTCATTAAATGCTTCCAAGAACAGACGTGCTTAGGAGATAAGTGATATGAATTGCTGGCAAGAAGGGGAGAAAGTGTGTAGAAGAAGCCTGAAGTGAAGACTTCCAACATCTTCCTTTTAGCCACTAGACTGGGCAAAAGAAAGTCTAAGACTGCCAATGCCCATATATGAGTGTGTGTGACTGGGGAAAGTCCACATCTAGCTACATTTGTGAGCCTGGCTTAAAAGAGATTGAGGCTATTTCAGTATGTTATTGTCTGGTTATTATTGTGGAACAACACATTCCCCTATAATTAGACAATTCAAAACATAACCTACCTGGTTTCTCATTAAAATGAAGCCAGGGCCTATATCTTTCCCTAATGTATCCTACATGTTGTAGTTCCTCAGTGTGCACTGCACTAAACTCCAAACCTCTCTATCCTTATCTCAGGGTGAGAGCATCAGTAGAATGAACGCTCCTATCTGCATGAGCTGTTTTGACCATGAAAACATGGCTACCTACACAAACCATTTGGTTCTCAATGAGCTGTGACATCTGTGCTGGGTAAATAAACAGAAAAATAGTGGTACAGAAATGAACATTGCAAGCAGTTGTGTTTGCATTGCCTAAAAGCCCCACAGGCCATGTACAGTTCATTATGAATGTGTAGTTGGTCTTATATTGGGATGAGGCTTAGTTTTTTATAAGTTGTTTAATGTAGGTTCAGACAACAAAGAGCATTTTCCCTAAGTCATGAAAGCTTTTATAGGCATTTCAGTTCCTAACATTTTCACATATGTTGTCTTTACTGCTGGACAAATAATGTTTTATGCTAAACCAGAAAAGGACACATTTCAATACATAGTTCACAATTTCCCCCAGAAATGTTAAATTCATAAGCATTATTTTCTATAAAACTTCTCTCTTCCTCCTTACAGTCTCCACCTACTACTTAACTGATTATGCCTCACAGGGAATCATGTATATGTGCTTTGTTGCTTGAACATTCCAGTTCCAAATGGAAGGCATCTATCTTACCAAATGGAACGTTCTACAGAACTCTCATCTACCTGCCAGCTCATTGTGGCAGAGATGTATACTGTAATCTTCCAGAACATTTTAATTAGAGATGTGAATCCTGATGGCAACTGTCTATAGGTTGAAAATATAAAGGTAAAATCCAGATGTAGCAAACCTTCCCTTCCTTTCACTCAAGGATTCACTTTACTTAATGCCTAAGTGATATTTATGGTGCTTGTTATTAGGGATATTTAGATATTAGATCTTATTATTAGGGAGATTTATTTTCTTCATGCTAAACACATTTCTAACAAATACTACATTTCCAACAAATACTACATTTCCTTTAATTATGGAAAACATCTCAATAAGATAGTGGAAAATTATCAATCTCAAGATAGGTGTTATAGCTAAGTTTTAGTTGTTTGAAATCACATGCACACATGCCAGGGTTGGGTTACCAAATAAGAAGTGATCCATTAGTGGATGGAATACTGTTCCTTTTGAATTTTCCTCTCCATCACACATATTTACCGAATCATTTAGCTAGCATCAATATGTATCTTTTTAAATCCACAGTTGGGTTTGCTGATATCTCTTTGAGAGATTAATTAATACAGTCATGACTAATTATCTGCATCTGTTTATATGAGCAAGGCCATTATACACAGTGAACATCATAAAGATGCTTTTTCCTCTTAGCACAGGTTAGGATAAAGTCTTATTCTCTGTAAGTGGATGAACAGATTTCTGGACCAGGCTGGTCCAGAATTCTTTCAGAATTGTGATCTTAAAAACTGTTTAGTACATGGGTTCAGGGAAAAAAATAGGGGGAAACACCTAAGACATATAAGCCTAGAGAATTTCCCTTGAATCAAAATATCCTGCAATAATCTGAAAGAGAAAAATATTATAATAACCTCAGGAGAACCTCAAGAAGTTTCTCATTTAGATTTGAACACTAAGCATTAATGCTCATCTTTAGGAGTCATAAAAATTAAGATCCCAGACACCTCTGCAGGTTTAGCATGGGACCCAGAATTCTGCATTTGGATCCATACCACCCAAAGTTTTCAGAGGACAGCTTCTTCTCTTCTTCACAGATCATAAGCTGATGATACTGAGGGAGCCAGTTGGGAAGGCAAGACAAAGCTGTAATTCATCAATTGAGGCTGATAAACCTTGGAGGGGGATATAAATGCTCAATAACCAGGCTATCTAGTGTATGTCAATTCTAATTTAAAAGGTCTTTAAACCCTTGAAAGGTCAATGTATACACTGCAATAAATCATAGGAAAGTACAATCCATTATGTCCTGTCAGTGGATCCCATTGCCCATCTCTTCAAAGATGCGAGCTGAGAAACTTAGGCCAGGTTGTCATAGGACCCCATGCTCCCTCGCCAAATAAACTTTTACACCGACCACCTATGCATCCTGCTGCCTGGATCTTTCCTACTTCTGCTCCTCTTCTTGCTTCTATCAAACTGGAACTCTTTCCTCTCTGTTAACTTGGTAATAACACACATTCTTCATTAATCAAATTAAGGTCCATGCCTTCTATGAGAATGTCTCCAGCTATTTATCTTCCCCTTAGTGAGTTCCATTTCCACCCTTTATGTTTTTTATTTTTATGAATGTAATTGATATTGTTTTTTCCCCCTCCATATCTTAAATGTAGTTATAGTCCATAACCATCTATAGCAAACACTTTATGTAAATCAAAGTAAAGCATGGTTCTTTAAGGTGTTTCACAAACCAAGCCCATCAGAAATACCGAAAGAGTAGGCTTAGTATGCACACTCCTGAGCCATACCTTAGACTGGCTGCACCAGTATCTTTGTCTTTTTAGCTATTATGATACACATGTATCCTGCAGTTTGAAATCAATTGGCTAAAGGCACATTTTCCCTAAGCAGGCCCAAGCATAAGAATCATTTTAAAGCACTTATGAAAACTATACATCTCAGAGCTCTGTCAGATCTTCTAAAGGAGAATCCCAAGTATGGGAGGGTTGGAAATCTGTTTGTTGTTAATAAGCCCTTTTGTCTATTACCAGCAGAGCTTTCCTGAAGGGATGAAAGTCCATTTTACAGAACAATGTAGTGCACTTTCTCAACATTTTGTCTTAATTGTAATCACTTTCATGATTTAAGCATTTGAGAAACAAACTAAAGAATATTGTAATGGGTTTTTAAAAGTATTTGCCTATGATTAAGTAAATAACTTTGCAGCTAACCTTGCATGATATAAAATTAATGAAACTTATAGTTGCCAGTCCTACCTTTGATGCTTATGGATAAATGGGCTAAGAAAGTGACCTAATTTCTAGGAGATTCATTTTTCTCAGAAAGAAAATAGGAATCATGTTATTTAACTTGAAAGAAATGAAAACCAAAGCGTGTGTGTGTGTGTGTGTATGTGTGTGTGTAAGAGGTGGGGAGGGATCACAGAGTGCAGTGTGCACCACAGTCCATCATTTATTCATCTCTGAAATTCTAGAAAGATTGTAGAAAGTGCATGGGGTTGGCTGTAGGAGCCTTTGTTTTGATCATGGTTCTTGTCTGCACTAGTAGAGAGGAAACTTTTCTTCATTGACCGCCTGACTTCTTGTGTGGACTGTTTGCATTATAGATCTCTGGTCTCACACTTGAATACACCAGCAATAGAGAACTTTTCACCTTTTGTAACCTGCCTCAATTGTACAAAATATGACACAGCTTTCTTAAATACTCATCGTTTCTAAAAAATGTATTATATCTTCAGTGATAATAAGTAACAGGGTTGAAAATTTGATAATCTCTCAGTTCATTGTTTGTGCCTGTGTTCTATTGAAAATAACATTTTAAAAATAACCATACTGAATATTCACAGAGCAGAAAATTATAAAGGCTAGATTAGAAACCCGCCAATGAAAATCACTATAACTTTTTTAAAACATGTATTTCCATCTTTTTCCAGAAATATCCATTTTTATTTTTTAAATTAGTGTGATTTTATAAAGTAGATTTCCTTTAATCTTTTATAATGTGCATTTCCACATTTGTTCAAATATCCTTATAAAAGTGGTGGTTTATAAGAGCTTACTATTTGTTACTATATTAGTTCTTTCTATTTAAATATTCTTCTATTCCTGAGTATTTAGTTTCCTTATGTTTTTGCTATTATAAGGAGTTTTAAGATGCTTTTATGCATTATATCTGATTGTAATCGTCACTTGTTTTGTCAAACCTATTTCTAAATGTGGGATTACTAGGTCAAAGGGAAGGAAGTTTCTTCAAGCTCATGACATGCATTTCTCAATTGCTTTCCAGAATTCTTGCTAATTTAAGCTCCATCATTTTCTTTTCTACAGAGAACGGGATCCTATTGTATACAGCACCAAAAGCAGTAAGATCTTTGATTTAATGTTTAATAAAACCTAAGAAAAACTATGTTGTAATTTGCAAGTTTCTCATTACCATTAAGTTTTATTCTTTTTTATTCACTTATTATTCACTTTACTTTTTGTATATTCTTCTTATCTCCCTTCTATAATGAGTGGCAGTGATTTACAATCATGCTACATATTTTGAGAGTAAATCTCTTGTTCAACCTGCTTTTCCCAAGTTGAAATTCATCTTTAAATTTTGCTTAAATATTAATTTAAATAGACATAAGTATCTAAAACATCCAAATATTGGGATGAACATGTTTTCATTTCCTAAAAACTTTTTCATCCTTTCATTATAAAACTTGAAACAGTCATGAAAGTTGAAAGAATTGCACAACAGATCTAGCTTCTTCAGTAACTATTTTGTTTTATCTTCTTTAGTATATATCTAATAATTTACTAAAAATAATCTGTCCATTTGCTTATAGTCTGCTTTTCGGAATTTAAAGGAATAGTCACTAACATGTAAATTACTTTAAAAGTAGGTACTTTTCCTATCTTGCCTTTCCCTGTACTCCCAAGCATTTGAACAGGATATATCATATGTGACAATCATAAATAATTTTTGACCAAGTAAGTTTTCTCAATGGAGGGGAGGGAGATTTCATGTTCTAAGGTGATGAAGATGACTTTTTAATATGTTGCAGTACCCATGATTTAATATATGTGGTATAAAGTGCATTCCAGGGCCAGTAAGATTTAACTGGCCTGTTTAAACAGTATGCTAAATATCTGCAAAAGTGTGCCTTAAAATATTAGTGACATCAAATATCTTTTATCTACAAACAAGCAAAAACCATGTGGATAAATTGTCATAACTTCTGAAACATGGTTTGCATCATTTAATGACAGCATCCCATATCTTGGAGGAAATTAGAATTCAAAACATTTCACTTCCTTCCAGAAGATGATGAGCTAATGCTGAAATGCCTATGAAGACAGAAGAACAAAAGAGAATGTTGCAGGCTAAAGAATCTGACAAGAATGGAGAAAAGTGGCACGGATTATAGAATCTATCTCATTGAGAAGGGAACAGAAAAATGATGCATTATACTGCACAGGGGGAAAAAAAGTCTGTCATGAATCTTCTGAGTCCAGATTCCTCGGTGAGCAAAAATGTAGAAACAACCTAATTGCTGTCTGTCTTTTACTCTCCCAGTAGGAACAAAAGGAGAATAGAAGCCACTCAGTATTTTCTATATTTACTAATGAAGAACATTTTGGTTGTCTTTTTACCCAGGGGTCTTGGAATAAAGGTAACCCTGCCATGTGCCCAAAGACAGAATCACCTGGAAGCTTAAAATCCTTCAGTCACTCAGTCTGATGCCCAGATCCTGTCTTAGGCCAATGAAATCAGGATCTCACTCAGGTCTTGATGAGGGTTGAAGACATTCATCTGAAGTTTCCCCAAGTCACCAAAGGTACAGTCAAGAATGTCAACTTTGGGTGAGAGAACAGAGTAAAGGAGGCAAGGAAGAGTCAAATCTTGTAAGCTCTCTTAGCATTTTGTGCTTCCATGAAAACCATCTGAAAGGGGAAAAGAGGAGAAAACACTCTCCATGATGGCAGATTTCAGCTAACTTGCTCCCGAATCTCAGTGCATACCTTGGGTTTTGTGGAAAAGGCTACTGGAGGCTTCAACAGGAGTAGTATTTTCCATTTGTATCTGGAGTAATATATAGATCAGGCTAAAATGAGTTCAAGGAATATATTCTTACATGAAATAAAATAATGCAAGAATAGGAATAAAAGCATAAGAACGGAAGGGATATTTTTCTATGACCTGATTTTCTAAATGTCTCACGTTTTTTCGTAAGCATTTTACAAATCTTAGTTCATTTTGTCCTTTGTGATAGATACATCATCTCTTTATAGACAAGGAAATTTTTCAAAGAATAGAGCTGGGATTTGAAATCCAACTGCCTAAACATAGTGCCTGTGCTCTTATAATTACTATTTTACACGCTTATTTAAAAATTCTTCCATTTTTGACATTTTTGGCATTTCTAATTTTCTGTCTTTTTTAAAATTGGTGAATAGTTTCACATCTGTATTATTTCCTGTGTTTAGATTTACTTTCTTTGGAACAGAATCTCAGAAGCAAGTTGTCATAAAGTGTGAATAAGCTTATGGCATTTTATATATTATTAAATTGCTTGTTAAAGGGGTTGTACAAATTCACAATGCCTCCAGAAATGTATAATAGACACATGCCAAGAATAGTAAATTATCCCCAATTTAGTAGGTGAGTAATCATATTTTAACCTCATTTAAAAATTCCTATTTGATTCATTGGTAAATCAGCTTTTTCATTTTGTACATTAGTTTGCTTTGTCCTTTTATCCATTGGAAACTTCATATATGAACTCTGATGTGATTTTCTTTACAGTTGTAATGAATATTTTGTCGTATTGCTTGAAATTTGTCTCCCCAGTTGGACGGTAAGCCCCTTGAGGGAATCACATCTGTCTAGTTCACTGTTAAATTCTGGGACCTAGAACTGTGCCTGGTATGTAATTTTAAAAATTGCACATGAATAAAAAGCTTACTTTCTACAATTACTTCAGAAACATACATCAGATGTGTGTGTGTGTGTGTGTGTGTGTGTGTGTGTGTGTGTGTGGTGTTGATTTAATTGTTCTTCATGGTTTAGGACAATACCAAAGCAAGTAGTCAGTGACCACAGGGAAAGTAATCCATCCATAAACAGAATTGGCACGGTGGAATCATAGAATAAAAATGGGAGTGTTCTTTTTTCTTTTTTTGTATTATATACGTATATATAATAAAATAAATATATTATACAATATATTATATGTATTTATGTACATTTTATACATATATATTTTATACTCTTACAAAATATATTGGGATTTGTAAAATAAAATGTCCAACATCTCTAGCAATTAGAGAAATGCAAATCAAAACTACTCTAAGATTTCATCTCACTCCAGTAAGAATGGCAGCTCTTAAGAATACAAACAGTAAGTGTTGGCAAGGATCTGGGGGAAAAGGCACACTCATACATTGCTGGTGGGACTGCAAATTGGTGCAGCTGATATGGAAAGCACTATGGAGAATCCTTGGAAAACTGGGAATGGAACCACCATTTGACCCAGCTATCCAACTCCTCGGTCTATACCCAAAGGACTTAAAAATAGCATCCTACAAGGACACAGCGACATCAGTGTTTATAGCAGCACAATTCATTATAACTAAACTGTGGAACCAACCTAGATGCCCTCCAGTAGATGAATGGATAAAGAAAATGTGGTATATATATACACAATGGAATATTATTCATCATTAAAAGAGAATAAAATCATGGCACTTGCAGGTAAATGGATGAAGCATTATATTATGCTAAGTGAAATTAACCAATCCCCAAAAACCAAATGCTGAATAATTTCTCTGATTTAAGCATGCTGATCCAAAATATGCTGGGAGGTGGGGGTGGAAGGATTAAATAAACTTTAGATAGGGCAAAGGTGAAAAAGTGAGGGAAGACAAGGGGGGGTATATGGATAGGAAAGTTGGTGGAATACGATAATCATCATTACTCTAAGTACATGTAAGAAGACACAAAGGATGTGACTCTACTTTGTGTACAACCAGAGATATGAAAACCTGGGCTGTATATATGTAATATGAATTGAAATGCATTCTGTTGTCATATATAACAAATCAAAGTTTTAAAACATACACACACACACAAACACACACACACACACACAAAGGGCAGTTTTCATGGGATGGAAATGAGAAGGAAGTCTCTCTGGAAGAGGTGACATTTCTAAACTTACAAAACCTTTCCAAATGTTGGAAGGGTTTGGTGATGCACACTCTGTTGAGGGTTCTGGTGATAACCTTGTACAGGAGGCAAGCAACCCAAGTGAAGCAACCTGCATCCTGCAGGTCTAATGGACTCCTAATTATCCCAATTAACAAGATGGCTCGAATCTGTAAAACAGCTAATGGTTGGATTCTGCTTTCTTTGAAATCACTTCTCTCTAGGATGTAAAATAGCAGCCAAAGCACTCCTGGAGTGGCTAAGTACTGTATTTACTCATTGTATTACCTCCCTTTCCTCCCCACAATTTTAAAGAAAAAAAAAAATAAAAGGTATTTTTCCTCTACAGAACGCCTCCTGGCATGTTGCCTTTGTTAGCAGCCAAGAGTGTTTTCTTTAGATGAGCCTAGTGGAGAATCTCCAATTGGTGGCTGTGTACATCCTGGTCAATGTTCCCAAACATTTGAATTTTTGCACCCCCCGCCCTTTTTGCAGAAATAAGCATTATTATTATCACTTAAAATCCTAAAGTAAAACTATGATGTGTGTGTGTGCATGAAGGTGTGTGTATGTGTGTCTGAAGCAAACTGTTCTTGTCACACCCTGCAGTTCCCTTGAGCTGAGAAGCATCACAATGAATTGCTGGTTGTCACTACCCATAGAAAGCCTGATTAGCTCTCTAGCAATCTGATCTCTAGAAACAGCCCTGCCCTTACTATCTCAGCACCCTCTCTTGGAAACAGCATGCTTGTTGCTCTGTTCAGGCTCCACTGTGAATTTATTCAACCAATTCCCATGGGATTCTGATGGTTTTCAATAAGGAAGAAACCAAAGAGTTTCAAAAAGAATTGTTGAGCCTGATAGGGGCTTATTGATTTATATAGCAATCACTTGAAGTGAGAAAGTCCCTTTGACATTTAAAAAATATTCTGAATTACTGGCCCATTCTCTTTTCCTTTCTTTGTGGCTTCCTCACTTCCTCCTTCCCTCCCTTCTTTCTCCTTTCATTACACAGTTTGGGTAAATTCATGGAAATAAAATGGAAGCACAGCTAGGAACCACCACTAATAATTTTAGTAATATGGCAGATTTTTCTATGGTAATCACTAATAAGCCATATATTTTTAATGCCCAAAGTTACATCTGTCACCAGTCTTATTCAGTGTTTCTAAGACAACTATTAAAAACAAATTCTATAAATTTTGAGATTTATTTTCTAGTATAATAGTTACTAATCACATGTGATGATACAACACTCGAAATGGGACCAGTCTAAATTGAGCAGGAATGTACAGGGAAAATACACACTGGGCTTCCATGTCTTGTTACAAAAAACAATGTAAAAGATCTTATTAATATTTTGTGTTGATTGCATATTGAAATGGTAATGCTTTACATGCATTATTAAGTAAAATATATAAAATTAATTTCACCCATTTATTTTTCCTACCTTAAACATATGGCTATAGAATGTTTAAAATTGCCTATGTGAATTGCATGATTCCTATATCAGACAGAATAGGGATGAAAATATTTAGGCTTTAGCACTGTTGGAGTTATCCTAGCAGGATGATCACAACAAAGCACTATCCTTGCCTCCTCCAGCTCTCCACAAAGTCTGTGCAGCAGCACAGTGGGAGGGGAATTATGCAGGTAAACATTTGCCAGTCAAATAGGGAGCCAGACCTTCAGGGGTACAGGTTACCTGCTAGAGACACAGACTCTCAAATCCTATAGCCTGCACCCTGGTGTTGGGCCTATCTATCTCAGAGCAAACATTTAAGACTTCAGGGGCAAGTCAATATGGTCATTCTCTGATCCCCAACTCTTCATCTTTAGCCTGTATCTTTTCACCAACAAAATTTTTAGAAGGGCCCTCAAGCAGGAACATAGATAGTATTTTTTAACATTTTTTTAAAACAAAAATCTTCAATATTTATGCAAATATGGTTGAATATAGACTTGGCTTTATTTAGAAATCTTTGCCATTGGATAAGCAAATCCTTAAACCAGATTTTAACACACATACATAAATGATATAGCAGAATAAACTGTTACAGTTGTGTAAAGTTCCATGTATAGGGGCCTTACTACCTATAAAAATAATTTAGTAATAATCTGAGTGTAGACAGAATCTTCACAATAATATCCATGCCTTCCTAAACATATCAACCATCATTTAAAAGTATAGTTTTTGTTATGTAATTTTCTACTTTAAGTAAGTACATGTGTACCCAAAGCCTTGCCATTTTGTACCTACCTGTTTAGAGGTAAGGGTGTGTCTCCCCAGGAACACTGTTTCTCTGTTGTTCACTAATGGAAAGCCTTGACACAATTTACAGTCACAATTTCTCAACAAATCTAAAAATTTACTGGCAATATCCTTTATATTTCTAAAGTTTACTAATAAATCTACTTAATAAATCTCTTACTCTATTTATTGTTTGTCTGACTATAAATCCTGAAATATGAAGTTCTATGATATTTCATATGGTATAAATTATCAAGCATATAAAGAATTGATTACAAGATTGATTTCTTTCTTTTTCTGGGGGTGGGGGTGTTGAGGGTGATCTCAAGAATTAGCCAGTCCCTGAAAATATATTCAGCAGGAAACATTTTGTAAATTATACCATATAAAATTCCAACAATGATAAGTTACTGAACATTTCCAAAAGCTAGAAGCAATAATTCTAAAAGTTTTAACCCTAAAGAAATGATGTTATCTTGACTTAGACATCTTATTATGTATATAAGTATGGAAATATTATGTCATACTCTATTTATATGTACAAATTTTATATTTCAGTGTATTGTTTATAATGAATTTAAAAGAAGATAAAACTTTCACTCCCATCTACCCAGATAAAATAAAGAGAAAGAGGAAAAAATTGGTGATTATTTGGAGATAAAAGTGAGATATTTCAATAGCAAAATGTGTTAACAAACAAAACTGAAGAGTATTAACAGGAGTTATGTCATGTAGCACAAAGTGAAGACAGTGTATCATTTCAGAAGGCCTGGATTTGGGTTTGGTGTTATCCACGAACACTGATAAACACTTATTTCCTTATCTTAAAATCGGGGCCATAAGAGAAGATGATACAAGGACATCCTCTGAATTATGACACCCTGAGTGAGTGTGGCATTTTGTTGTTGTTGTGTGGTTTTAATCCACACTTCCAGGACTATAGACCTGTCAGGAAAGAGGAGGGAATCACAGTCCCATTTTGGGGGGACTAGATTTAGCGATCTCAGAGACAAGTCAGTGTGCGGTTGTCATGTGAGGTAAAATAGAATTACTGCAGGGCACCTATGAAGGAAAAAGTGTGAAGATTTGGTATGTCATGGCTGCTGCAGGGTAAGGCAGAATTGAGTGGGTCCTGAAGAGGTGAGCAGGGACTGCAGGATAGTTGAAGATGAGGCAGCTGGGGGCAGTTTCTGAG